TGTTGGGCTGAATGATATGAGCCGCTTGTTGGGCTGAATGATATGAGCCGCTTGTTGGGCTGAATGATATGAGCCGCGTGTTGGGCTGAATGATATGCAAAGCCGCGTGTTGGGCTGAATGAAATGAGCCGCGTGTTGGGCTGAATGAAATGAGCCGCGTGTTGAGCTGAATGATATGAGCCGCGTGTTAGGCTAAATGATATGCTAGCCGCATGTTGGGCTAAATGCAATGCAAGCCGTGTATTGGGCTAAATGGGATGAAAAAAAGCTCAAATGTTTGCACAAAAGGCTATGTGAAAAGTCAATGCTTGCAGACAAAAGTAGTAAAATGTCATGGTAGTAGAGAAATGTAATAGAATGGTTATTTGGCAAGAAAATGAAATGGAATGTTATGTTGATATGTCATGTTGGTACAGAAATGTAATGATTGAGAAAATTGTCCTTGAAAATGAATTGAAAAATTGCTTTTGACAAATTGCCTTTTATAGAAATGCTTTTGGAAATGTCATGAAGGAGGTTGAAGATGGTTTGACCTTGTGATCTTGAGATACAGATTTATTGGAAAAAGAATTTACCTTGGGTTTGCAATTGCCCCTCAATTTGAAGTTTGTATTGCAGGCTCGCATCTATAATTAACTCAATCATATCACCAACAACGGCTAGATTTTCTGAATACATCATATGCCAACTGCTCAAAATGAATCATGCATGACAACAATTAAGTTCACTCCCTTGGGATTCTTGTTGCTTTGACTCCATGTGAGTTATCTCTACTTTCTTTATAAGTAGCATGAATAAAACAAAAGCCTTTTTTTTCTTTTTTTTTTCTTTTTTATTATGAGGATACGATGATAAGAACAAAAAGAGATGGAATTGATAGGTATGAATGGATGACATGATTAAGATGAAAGAAATGGAATTCTTGACAAAAAGATGAAAGGTTTGAAATTCTTGACAGAGAAGAAGAATCTTTTCCTTGCTATCTCAACAAATTATGATCATTTCTTTCATAAAATATAAAGATGATATCTTTAACTCATGGATCATTGAATCATTTAAATGGCTCAGCTTCAAAATTTTCAATTTTTGCCCCCTAGCTTTTTAAGGCAATCATATATTTTTATCACTCAAACCACATTGGAATTTCAAAAGCTTTCAGATCCTCTGATAAGGACTTTATTCAGCTTGTAACGTGGTCATTGGCTTGGTTAATTTGAAAGAAAGGATATTAAGCTCAAAATGCCCTTCATGCTATCTTCGACTTAGTGATTGTAATCATCAAAATATTTAAAGTTTCAAAACCTTCATAAAGGATTTTTGCTTTGGGTTGCAACGTGGTTTGGGGTATGGTTTTTGAAAGAATGGTCGTTAAAAGCTCAAATTCCCAATTTGCCCCCAAGTTACATACCTTTGCTAGGAGCTTCACTTATTTTGAACTGTCTTTTTGGGTTTTCTTCCTTCTGCATCACTCAATTTTTCTTTTTTCTTTTTTCTTTTTTTTTTTTATTTTTATGTTTTCACTCTATTTTGAGTTTTTTTCTTTTTTCTTTTTTTATTTGAGTATTTTCATGGGTTTTTCTCTCACACATTTTTTTGTTTTTAAGAAGAAATTGCTCCAGGCATGTAACTTAATTCCTAGGTTTTAGAATGGGTATCCAAGAAAAGGTTGGCAATTTTTAGGCTCAAATTGGTTGACTAAAGATAAGTCTCTTTAAGTTTAAGTGTTTGGGAGTTAGGGTAATCAAAGATGGCCTTTTATCCTTAGATTTTGAACTTTTAGCATTCCTGAGTGATGACAATCACTTAGCTTAAGATAGCATACCCCTTACTTTGCACTCAACACTCCTCGGATTCATGATGTGGGTATCAAAGAAGTGATCATTTGGCTTTTATTCATGATCTTTGCCTTTTATTTTGGCTCAAATTGGGTAACTAGGGATGATATTTGTGTTTGGGAAAAGAAACACGGCCTTTCTTCATTGAACCTTTCCACCTTTGAACTCCTTTGTGGCTTTTCTCACTTTTTTTTTGTTTTTGCATCATTGCCCAAATCTTAGACCTTGAATTTAGATATCATCAACATATCCTTAGAAGAAAAGGATTTAATCCATCAAGAAGCAAAGAAGGAAATGAGTAAGTAAATTGTGCAATGGAATTATGAAAAGAAAGTAATATATTAACTTCTAAGATGAGAGTACTAACATATCAAGCAAGTCATAAAAATATGAAATTTTTTAACAAGGATGTGCCCGTTATTTTACTTTAACCATGATCTTGGGCAGAATCAATGGTGGATTCAAGTTACTTATACTACTAATAACTAAAAAGTAGAGATAACTGACATAGGTCATTACTTCAAGAATCCTTGAGGTTTGAACTCAATTCTTGCCATATGAACCCCTCAAAGTAACTATAACAAATGTTGTTTTAGCTTCCACCAGGGTTGGCATGCTTTGGGAGTGGGTTGTTGGTAATGCTAGGACTGGCCTTATCAGAGGCGGTCTCAAATGCAATCTTCTTCTCTTCTAGCAAATTCTGAATAAGGTGTTTAAAACTCCAACAAATTTCAATATCATGGCCAACACCACCACTGTGATAGATGCATTGAACTTCTGGGTTGAATCCTTTTGGGAGGGGATCTTGGACTTTAGGAGGAGGTATTGGTGTCACAATCCCTACGGCTGTCAATTGGTTGTATACATCCAGGTAAGAGAGAGGAATACGATCAATCTTTCGAAATCTCCTATCGAAAGTATTTGGCCTATTTGGATATGGCTTGGGAGGATTAGCTGGGTAGGTGGCATATTTGGGACTTGGTGGATAGGCTTGGTATAGATGAGGTTGTGGAGAGTATTGCTGATAAGGTGCAGGTGGATAAGGTTGGTAAGTTGATGGTCAGATTGAATAAGAAGTACGGGAGTATCCTTTAGGAGTGTGTGGGTAAGGATTTGAGGTATATGGTTGGTTAGATGTATGCATGATTGCTTGGACCTCACCCTCCTTTTTGTCTTTCTTGAACTGGTTGAACTGGTTAAACTTACGACCATTCCCTTGGTTATTTTCCATCAGAGCTTGCCATAAGTTAGCATCTGGGATCTTCCCTGACTTTATAGCATCTTCAATATTTTCTCCAATGTGAACTAGCTTTGCAAAATCATCAGAGGAATGAGTAAGCATTTTATCAAGATACGGTCCTCTCATTGATTTGACAAATAGATTGTTGAGCTCAGATTCAGTCATTGGAGGTTGCACTTGAGCAGTCTTAATGCGCCAACGTTGAGCATATTCTTTAAAAGTCTCAGAGGCTTTCTTCTCCATCCTTTGGAGGTCTTCATGAGTGGTGGATAAAGCAGAATTGAACTTATAATGTTTCCAGAATGCAAAAGAAAGTTCTGACCAAGATTTCAAGTGTTTATGATCAAGAGTGGAATACTAGAGCTTAGTAGGTCCGGTGAGACTTTCTTGGAAGAAATGGATCAACAATTGTTCATTCTTTCCATAAGCAGCCATTTTGTTACAATATTTACTCAAATGAGCTTTTGGACATCCAGTTCCATCATACTTGTCAAATTCAGGGATTTTAAACTTGGTTAAATACCTTTTTTGGTCCCTATACCGAAAAAGCCTTTTTTTGGTCCCTATACCGAAAAAGCCTTTTTTTGGTCCCTATACCGAAAAAATCCCCTTTTTGGTCCTTACTGTTCACAAATCCGGCCCCTTTTTGGTCCCTCCGTTAATTTTTGTTCACGTGGCACGTTAACTTAACGGGAACAGCTAATGTGGACTTAATGATACCCTCCATGTGCTGGAAAAAGAAAAAAAAAGGTTAAATGCTAAATTTGATCCCTCAACTTTATAAGTTTGCATTTTTTTGGTCCTTAGATTATTCTTGTCACTTTTTTGATCTTTTAATTCTAAAAATTACACAAATTTGATTCTTTTATCAGTTAAACAAGACGTGATAATTAAATAATTTCATTTGACATTTTCTTTTAATTTTTTTGATGACTTGCCAATTATATATATTATAATTATTTTATATAGATAAATAAAAATATCAAGTAGATAAACATTTATATTTTAATTAAAAAATAAAATTACATTATTACCCTCAACTCCCAATCCCTCTTTTTTCCCTTCTTTCTTTCTTTTCTACCCAGATCGACTGGATTCCGATGAGTTGGGTAGCTAGGTTCGTTGAGCACTGCTTTCTGTGCTGCATCTCACTTCAAAACTTCTGCGCAGAAATTCCTCCAAACCCTCCGAAATCTCCCAGCTGCCGCTGATTACCTCCTTCGCAAAACACAAATATGAAATCCGCTCCGATCGATCGGATTCCGTCCGTCTCGATCATTTCATCCAATCTAATGTTTCTCGCTTGCTGAAATCCGATCTCCTTGCTGTTCTCGCTTGCTAGTCCTGGTCGCACGAACCCAGCCTTGTTGGTCTTGGTTGCGCGAATCCGGCCCTGCTGTCTGAAAAAATTAACAGATTCAAAAAATCATGTCGTGTTCCGTCGCGGTATCAAGCTCCCCGGTCTTCTCTCCTTCCTCGTCTTTCTCCTGTAACAAAACCTCAATATTTTCTCCGTCAACGGAGGCTCTTAATTTGACTTTAACCCACCTCAAACCCACATATTCTCCTTCTTCTCCGTCTCTGTCATCTTCGCCTTCATCGTCGTTTCGTATAAGGATTCAAAAAACATCATCTGGGTCACTTCTCTCATCCTCATCTCCGTTTTCTTTGGGTTCCAGTGCGGGTTTTGGTCCCGGGTCGGTTTTGAAGAGGAAGAGGCTGGCTAGACTGGATATACCGGTGGCGACTGTGATGGCCTTTGCGACTCCGTTGATGGAGAGCCAGGAGAGATGGAGAGTGAAGGTGATGGGTATTTTGTTTATTGTAAAAGAGGGAGGAGAGAAGCTATGAGGGTAATAATGTAATTTTATGTTTAAATTAAAATATAAATATTTATTTACGTAACATTTTTATTTATCTATATAACATAATTATAA